GGGGAAGAGGTGGAGCGCACCTGGGGAGGAGGAGGAGGAGGAGGAGGAAGAAGAGGAGGGGGAGGAGGAGGTGGAGCGTACCTGGGGAGGAGGAGGAGGAGGAGGAGGAGGAGGAGGAGGAGGAGGAGGAGGAGGAGGAGGAGGAGGAGGAGGAGGAGGAGGAGGAGGAGGGACAGGACGGTAGCGGCCGCGACGGCTCTTGCCTCTGCCATCCCTCCCTCCCGCCTCCCCCTCCCCCACCCAGTCTATGGCCCTCACGGCCCGAGCGCAACGGTGCGCCAGAGGCGCTGCTGCGCCTGTCGCCCTCTCCATGTTGGCCGGGCGTCGGCGCGAATCACCAGCGACGCCGTGGTGTGTTTCCATGTGGAGGGCGTCCCCCCGCGAGTCGCCCGAGCAAGGAAACCATTGTTATAATCACGCCTGGCCTGTTCATCACAGACTGGCACTGCGGACCGATGCCTGCTGCGCCGAAGCAACTCTGTCTCTCTCTCTCTCTCTCTCCCTCTCCCCCTCTCCCTCTCTGGCAGCAGGCAGCAGGCAGCAGGCTGGCGCTCGTCGCCGCTCCCCCTCGAGACGAGTACGAGGCTGGCCGGCGCCAAACAGGCCCGAGGCCGTCGCGTCAGGCGGTCGGAAAGATCTGGGCTGCCCGCCGAAGCGCTCGACTGGAGAAGCACCCCGCTCCGCACACGAGTCTGGCCCATCACGCCAAGGCCGGCACCCCAAAGTGAGGGGCAACGACAGGGGGGGGATGGGCATAAGGGGGGGATGCATCGACCTGGAATCGGCGATGCATCGTCGATAGGTCGGCGGTAGGCCTCCCATAGTGAATCCGCACCTTCCTGGGCAGGTTGGGGCTATCGGGCCCCTATCGACGATCAACGGGCGATCGGGGGTCGATGCATCCGCCCCTATGCCTATCCCCCCCTATCGTTGCCCCTGACAGAGGCATCACATCATCGTCAGCACTGTTGTCCTTGCCGATTCGCTGGTCTGGCAGCCCCAGGCACCAGCAGAGCTCTGACAGTGCATCAAGCCCGACCTCAAGGACGAGCATGCAGTGGTCAGGTGTATGGACATAAAGATAAAAACAGCAAGGGCTCTGCAAAGCCAAACAAAAACGAAAGCCTGGGCAAGCTCGATTGCCAGAAGCAACACGAAGCTAGAGACTGGCAACACATTCGGTCGACTACAATGACGACAAGTCCCGATCAGGTCCTTTAAATTTGAGCAGGGACCGACCGTCCCGGCATTCCTATAGTCCTACCACGAAATTTTCTTAGAAGCCACAAATGTTCGAATAACCGAAGCAATGTTCTTAGACAAAAAACCGATGTGATAAAACAAGACAATACCAGCCAAGCATGTTCTAAGAACATGTCGTGGACACCGCGAAGAGTTCTTACAACACTGTTTGGTAGGGCGATAGGCGAGCCAGGACGCTTCGCCACTGCTTGATAAGTCCTCGGGGGTCACGCAGAAGCGTCCATTCTGGCCCAGCCCCGGCCCAGAAACCGAAAGGTGAAGCGGCAAGTCGCCAGCCCTCCCGATCAAGCTCGCTCGGCCGTGGCTGGGGCGAAACAGGCCCAAACGTTGCTCGGGCGCCTCTGCTGCCCCCGGACAGCCCACACCGGGCGCCTGGGCGAAGAAGGCTCAGGTCGGGCATGCCCTCCTACAGGCGGAGTCTTCCACGACAAGTACCCAAACATTTTAAAACATGGTAGAGCAGCTGCCCCCTGGCTATGATGCTATGTTTGACTACTCCTCCTGAAGCGGGACATGACCGGCCTTAGGAAAGACGGCCGCACAGTGGCGCCGCCCCTCCGCCACGCGTGCCCGAGGGCGCGCAGCTCGGCAGCGCCACGGCCGCCGCGGCCTCGGTGGAGGCCGGCAGCTGCTCGCGCTGCGAGCGGGGCACCGCCGCGAGCTCGGCCGGGGCGTCCTCGCAGCGAGCCCCCGACTTGCCGTCGCCTGGACGTCCATCCCCAGTGCATTGGCCGGGTCCGTGCGCGCTTTCTTCCTCCTGCCCGTTGGTCCAGGCTGGTCCTCGAGGGCCCCCGCCGAGAGAAATGCACACGCCTTCGCGATGCCAAGCCGAGGGCTCGCGCCTCTCGGGTCGGGCGAAAGGGGGGGATAGCAAAGGGGGGGTTTGAGAATCAGCTCAGGTAACTGATTTTCCCGGCGCCTCCCGGCGCCGGAGGCGGCTATGTCTCGAGGAATGGGCCCCTCGGTGAGGCCGAAACCAGCTGCATGCCGCAAATTTCGTAACCCCCCCTTCCCCAATCCCCGCCTTTCGCCCGGCCCGCGCCTCGCGACCCGCGACCCGCGACGCGCCAGCCCGCCGGGGCAGGGCGGGCCAGGCCTCTGAGGTGGCACCGGGCTCGGGTCGGCGTGGCCGCGCCTCCCCGACCTCTGCCTCCGTCGGGCAGGCCCTCCGCCCCCAGCTTCTTCTCCTCCTCCTCCTCCTTCTCCTCCTCCTCCTCCTCCTCGTCCTCCTCCTCCTCCTCCTCCTCCTCCTCCTCCTCCTCCTCCTCCTCCTCCTCTCCTCCTCCTCCTCCTCCTCCTCCTCCTCCTCCTCCTCCTCCTCCTCTCCTCTTCTCCCTCCTCCTCCCGCTGCCTCACCGCCCCCGCACTCCATCCGACTATTCGGCTGCACGCAAGAGTGACCCTGGGCAAGAGTGGCCTTTGGTGCGCGGCTTTTGGGGGGCCGCGGGGGAGCCAAACACAGGCGCGCAAGACGCCAATGCTGCCTCGCGTTAGGCGGCCGGGGGACACCAGTGGGCCCGCATCACAAGTTACTCCGGCCAAGGGTCACTCTTACGTGTAGTCGAACTACCTACTATAGGGAACCGAACTCTATACACCAACGCTTTTTCGGGCCCTGCGCTGAAACTCTCACAAAAAATCTGATCCTGGTGTATATTGGGTCTTGGTCTATACATTTTTCGTTGCTTTCCCGGGGAAGCGGGGAAAAAGCATACACCACACCACCCCGACCTCGTCCCCGACCCTCGAAAAGTCCTGGGATTGAAAGAGAGCCCGCCACTGGTAATGTATATGTTCCAGCTTCCGATACTAAACCACCTCAACCCAGCCCGAAGACCCGACTTTCGCGTTGGGGGGGGGGTACGGGCTTCACAAGTGTTTTTGTCCGCGTTCCCCGACCCACTCCTCACTGGAAATGGAGGGCAAATCGGGGCCTTCGGGTTGGGTTGGGTTGGTTTGGTGTCGGGGATCTTTCAATCCAGACCCTAGTCAGCAGGAAACCAAAAAACTAAAATGCAGGACTAAAAAACTGCAACGAAGGTCTTCACAAACCCGGGTCAGCCAACATGCGCGGCCGCCTCGCGGCCACAAGCGGCTCGCTGACCCGGGTCAGCCATACGGGTTTTCGCAGGATCCTGCAGGATTCGGTGCCCTGGCTGACCCCCGTTTGCACTGACCCCCGTCTCTTAGGCCCCGAGCGGTGACAATCCCTCCCTCCTGCGCAGTACACTCCACAGCATTGAGCGCGAACTGACCAGGCCTGCAGACTTCAAAAGCGCAGCCGTGGTGCGGGGGCACGCGCTCGCCGGAGCCGAGGCGGAGCGGCCAGGACTGCGGACCGGACGAGCAAAAACACAGCAGCCCAGCGAGGGGGCGGCCCACACATTGGAAGGGACCTCTCAAGCTTTCGTCAGGCCTGCGCAGTGTCTATTAGAGCAAGAGCGCAAGCTGAGCACAGGAGGACGTCCAGGCAGCTGCGGAGATCGGACGTGCAGAAGCAAGGTGCGGACGACGCTGCAAAGCCCTAAAGGAGAGCAGAGCATTGACAGCGCGAGCACCAGCGTCGAGCGCAACGGGGCGTGCTGAACGGCGGCGTCCCCTGGAACAGCTCTGATCGTCGAGAACACAGGGCGCATAGAGCGCACGAAGCATCTGACTGCCCGCCATCTGCACACGCGTTGGGCCTGGCCAGAAAGGATGCGCTAGCAGAGCAATCGCTCAGCAGCCATCCGCGCAAGCCCCGATCTTGAAACAGCGTACGAGCAGATGGACACTCAATATGATGCCAGTCATCGGGAGACGAGTCCATCAACGCGAGTGGGAACACGAACTGATAATTCGAGCCTTCCGCTCCAAGGAGGCCCCAAGAAGAGCCCAGGAAGCCCCAAGAGGCACCCAAGAGGCAAGAGAGGCACACAAGAGGCCCAAGAGGCCCCTAAGAGCCCCCAAAACGGCCCCCTAAGAGGCATCCAGACTGCCCCCCGAAAGGCCCCCCACGCGATCCCAACGAATATCCAATAGGCTTCGTACCCACAACCCAGGCAGGGTTGCGGGATGGGCCGAAGCCCATGAAATACGAATATGCTTCAGCCATAAGCCATGGTGACGGACTGGACTGCTGTCAACGACGGCCGTCGCACAACCACATCTGACCTAGCGCACGCTGAAGAGTCGGTATGTTGACGTCAGCTGCTGTGAGGCCGCACTCTGTTGGTGGCTGCGGGGCGGCATCGGTCAAGATGGCAGGGTACTTGGAGGCTGGAAACACCAAGGGCTGAAATCACTGCGGACAGAATGGTTACAGGGAAAGTCGCGCTCGCGTGGGCCTGCAATAGAAACCAGACAAGGGAAGCCCACGCCCCGAACACAAAGAAGAACGAAGACCTTATGGTAGCCCCAAAATCGCGCACTACCCATTTTCACGTTTGGCGCGGCCCGGCGAAGAAATACTGCCAGAAGCCCAACGCATGCAACAGAATTGATCCCGGCCCATGCATGTGTTTCCAGCCTCCCCGTACGCTGCACCTCTGATCGACATGTAATATCATTCTCTCCGTCCAGACTAGGAGACGGTTAAAAACTGCTGCAACGGCAAGCGCCCTCCACCAACGGCACAAAATTAATGTATCCGGCTGGCGGCAAGACGATCTAGCACGCAGCGCCTCAGGAGCGCTTTTCGAGCCGCCTCTCACAATACCTCCCTCGACAGAACGACCAATCGCTGCGATCTGCAACTATCAGCTGGTACGCACATGGAGACAGGATCCTCGACGCCGTGAGAGTATCCTCGACATCGTTGGTGCTGGCAGAGCGCCAGGAGGAAGGCCCGGTCCGTGGTTGGCCGTGACGCTGCGCCGAATGCGCCGCACCTGGGCCGTCTTCGCGAACGAGGTCTCCTCGGCGACCTCCTCCGCCTCGCTGTCCTCCAGCGCGGACGTGGGTGGGCTGCTGCTCGAGCAGTCGGTCTCCGGCGAGGACTCTGCAGTCGACGAGGTGCCCCACGACGTCCGGCGAGCACGAGGCGCCTGCAGCGCAGGCGCCCCCGAAGCACGACCGCCTCGAGCCGCCTTCGCGGGGGCCGGGGAAGGCTGCCGCTCCGCTCCGCGCGTGCCCGCGACCTCCGCGTCGGCCCGGAGGCCCTCGACGATGGCACGCGTCCCGCCGCCCACGCCGCCCGCCTCGGCCTGCCGCGCGGCACCTCTCGGCACGCGAGGCCACGGGCTGGAAGTCCTCGGGGGGCCCCCGCCTTCCACCATGACCACCGTGAGATGGAGGGGGAGGGTATCCTCCTCCTCCTCCTCCTCCTCCTCCTACTCCTCCTCTTCCTCCGCCTCCTCCTCCTCCTCCTCGTCTTCCTCCTCCTCCTCCTCCTCCTCCTCCTCGTCTTCCTCCTCCTCCTCCCTCCTTCCCCTCCTCCTCCTCCTCCTCCTCCTCCTCCTCCTCCTCCTCCTCCTCCTCCTCCTCCTCCTCCTCCCCCCCATCCAGCTTCTGGTGGTGGTGGTGAAAAGCAGGCCCATCAGTCCTTGGCCCGGCGAGCCTCGCGCCGCCCTCGGCCTCGGCAAGGATTTCCTCGACCGCGTCGCTGAACGAGGCGCGCCGGCCGCCTGTCATCCGCGGGTCTCGGAGCGCGCGCGGGCGGCAGCGGTTTTTTCCGCCTCCGCGCGCGCGCCAAACTCTCGGGGCGGCGCGCGTTGCGGCCGCTCGAGTGCCGGGCACGGCTCCGAACGGCTTGGGCCAAAAATGGCTGCGGACAAATGATCAGTGATATGTTTGATGCTTCTGTCCCGGGGTGCGGTGCCCATGGCTTGGGCCCAGAAGGCCTGTGTGCACCGTGCTGCCTACGTGCACGTCGGGGCATGTGTGCACAACAGATATCATGAAATGTCCGCTAGAACTGCCGCACCAGAATCCGTGCGCACTAAAGCGCCTGTGAACACCACAGAGCGAGGGCCTGAGGGTGTGGGGTAAGTTTAAGAAATACGCCCGCGCTCGCAAACATGTGTTCTTGTTTGGTGGCGCAACCCGCGGGCGCGGGAATTCTGCGCGCCAGCCTGGCAGCAACGTGCGCCCAGATCGCCAGCTCGCTTTGGGACCCCTGGGGCATATCAATTGGCACAGCCATGCTCGTGGTCACAGCGACACAGCTTGCTCAGCCAATACGCCTCTGACAACAAGAGTTGTCTCCTAGAGCTGCTAGAGCATCATGGCACCCCTGCCTGGGTGCACCATGTGCCTATGTACACCACACTTCATCTGTACACCGCACCGACTTTGTATACAAAACTGAGTTTGTGCACCATAACAGCGCCAGCCAGTGTTCGCAACAACGTTTCTGTGCACAGAAACGCCTGTACAAACCACATTGCGTGTGTGCACCACGGTGCGTCTGCACACCACAGCTAATGTGTACATCGCAACTCCGTTGCACATCACAGCTGCTGCAACGGCCCATGTGTGCACCATAGCGCACGTGTGCACCACAATGCCTGTGTACACCACAACGCCCCTGTACACCAAACGCCGCCCATGTACAACACACTGCGCGTGCACACCGTACACCACAACGGCCGTGTGCACCAGAGGAGATGCTCCTTCAACACATACGTGCGTGACCACAGCGCTTGCACACCAAAGAAGGAAGATCGTGGTGGGCCGGAACCATTCAAAATACTATTATATGTGACTGATGACTTCTCTGCCTGGGAAGCGCTGCTGGCCCGCAGTGTCTGTATACATCACGGCGAATGTAAACACCAGAGCGCTTGTGACACCATATTGCCTTTGTGCGCCACAATGCCTGTGCACACCGCGGTGCTGGTATGCACCACCACCGTGCCTGTGTACACCGCAGCTGCTGCACCACAATGCTCGAATACGCCAACGGGCCTGCATGCATGTCAGTGCCGTGTGCACCGCCGCGCGTGCGGGTGCCACAACAGCCTGCGAGCGCTACGCGCGTCACCACACCACAGGCGCATGCGTGCGCACAATCACACGCTGTCCATGCGAATTACAAGTTGCGTACATCTGCGCTGAACGACGTACGCTGCTGCAGCGGGGGTGGGTCGGGTGATAGGGTGGCAGTGGGTGGCGGAGTAGAGGGGAAAAAAAAACAGCATGAACATGAAACTTTTGGACCCCCCCTCCCCGGCCCAGCCCCAGAGAGGGGAGGGGGGCTAGGGGCCAGGTAGGTGCAAAGAGGCGTTTTCTATCCCAAACCTTATCTTTATGTCCTTCTCCTGCCTCGACCCGCGACCCTGACCCCGAAATCCGCTGCCCGTCTGCCCCAAGCCGCCTCCAGGGGTGCGTCCTGGAAAGGTGTTCATCCCAGCTCGGTCTCTGACAACCCGTGGGTCTGGCACGGGCCTCCAAGGCGTGAACATGGCGAGCAACCTTCTTGAACCTCCAGTATCGGTGTGCTCTCCGCGCAACGCCGACGACGAGGCCGCGGCGACACAGACAACGACAGCGACCTGGCCAATGAAGCCTCACACCCGCCATTCTCAAGACTGATACACCCGAAGCCACAACTCAGAGATGTTCGAAGTGAACCATTCGTTTGTTATCCCTGTCGGCGGGGATGCCTTTCGATAGCCTCTTGCCTCCGCTTGTAGTCTCTCGCAATACCATCCGTCGGCGACGACGACGACGACGATGGAGCTTCTGAGGCTCACCGACTTGGGCTCCGCAAAGGGGGGGCAGAGGAGGAGGAGGAGGAGGATGTGGAGGGGGAGAGGACAAGCTACCCCCCTGGATCAAACAAGCGGCGATCGGCACTCCGCAAAGGCGGCATGGGAAGCGACCAGGATTTTGTTTTGCGAGGACGTCCCAAGCGGAATCGACACTCTGCGGTGGCATGAGAAGCAAATAAAAAATTTGCGCGAGGACGTCCCGAGCGGAATCGCCTCATTTAAATGGCATGGCGAAGTGTCTGATCGCCCTGAAGGGCGGTCAGAAACTTTCTGTCAGGACGTATTCAGCGGAATGCCACTGTCTGATGCGGGCCCCATTCGGCCTTCAACATACAAAAAAGAGTCAGGGATGCATCAGAAGCTCTGGAATCAGCATTGAATCCAACGTTGTCTGAAAAGCGTCTGAAAAGCGGGCCCAGACATGTCTCGATCCCAGCTGTAAAGACTTGTTCCAAACGATCCTGTGGTGTCGGGTCCTCGTTTTGAAGAGACAGCGCCCCGCGTCCCTCCTCTCCTCTCCTCTTCTCCTCCTCATCATCATCGGCATCATCATCATTATCATCATCATCATCGTCATCATCATTGTCATCATCACCATCGTTATCGTCGTCATCATCATCAGCATCGGCATCATCACCATCATCATCATCATCATCATCATCATCAGCAGCATCAGCATCAGCATCATCATCAGCATCAGCATCAGCATCAGCATCAGCATCAGCATCAGCATCATCATCATCATCATCATCATCATCATCATCATCGTCATCGTCATCGTCATCGTCATCGTCATCGTCATCGTCATCGTCATCGTCGTCATCATCATCGTCGTCGTCACACCAATTTTGGCCCACCCCTCACACGCTTCGTGGCCCCGTAGGGAGCTCCACCGTAGGTCGCAGTGGCGCAGCCCGCATGCGTCACGCACACACATTTCGGCACACCCCTCAAACGTTTCGTGGCCCCATAGGGAGCTCCACCGAAGGTCCCAGTGGCGCAGCCCGTAGGCGTCACGCACACCCATTCCGGCACGCCCATCACCCGTTTCGTGGCCGCAAAGGGAGCTCCACCGAAGGTCTCAGTGGCGCAGCCCGCATGCGTCACGCACACCCATTTCGGCACACCCTTCACACGCTTCCTGGCCCCATAGGGTGCTCCACCGAAGGCCCCAACGGCGCAGCCCGCAAGCGTCACGCACACACATTGTGGCACACCCCTCACACGTTTCGTAGCCCCCCCAGGGAGCTCCACCGGAGGTCCCAGTGGCGCCGCCCGCATGCGTCACGCACACCCATTTCGGCACGCCCCTTCACACGTTCCGTGGCCCCATAGGGAGCTCCACGTAGGCCCCAGTGGCGCAGCACGCATGCGTCACGCACATCCAGATCGGCACACCCTTCGAACGCTTCGTGGCCCCATAGGGAGCTCCACCGAAGGTCCCAGAGGCACAGCCCGCATGCGTCACGCACACACACACACACATCTCGGCACACCACTCACACCTGTCGTGGCCCCATGGGAAACTCCGCCGACGATGCCACTGGTGCAGCCCGCATGCGTCACGCACACCCATTTCGGCACACCCCTCACACGTTTCGTAGCCCTATAAGGAGCCCCACCGAAGGTCCCAGTGGCGCAGCCCGCAGGCGTCACGCACACACATTGTGGCACACCCCTCACACGCTTCGTAGCCCCCTAGAGAGTTTCACCGAAGGCCCCAGTGGCGCAGCCCGCAGGCGTCACGCACACCCATTTCGGCACACCCCTCACCCGTTTCGTGGCCGCATAGGGAGCTCCACCGACGGTCCCAGTGGCGCAGCCCGCATGCGTCACGCACACCCATTTCGGCACACCCCTCACACGCTTCGTAGCCCCTAGAGAGTTTCACCGGAGGTCCCAGTGGTGCTGCCCGCATGCGTCACGCACACACACACACACACATATTGGTACACCCCTCACACGTTTCGTGGCCCCACAGGGAGCTCCACCGAAGGCCCCAGTGGCGCAGCCCGCATGCGTCACCCACACCCATGTCGGTACACCCCTCACACGTTTCGTGGCCCCATAGGGAGCTCCACCGACGATGCCACTGGTGCAGCCCGCATGCGTCACGCACGCCCATTTCGGCACGCCCCTTCACACGCTTCGTGGCCCCATAGGAAGCTCCACCGAAGGCCCCAGTGCCGCCGCCCGCTTGCGTCCCGCACACCCAGTTCGGCACACCCCTCACCCGTTTCGTGGCCCAGTAGGAAGCTCCACCGAAAGCCCCAGCGGCCGCGTTCACATGCGCCCCCACCACCCATCCTGGCACTCCCCTCACAGGCTTCGTGGCCCCATAAGGACCTCCACCGAAGGCCCCAGTGGCACCGCCCGCATGCGCCACCCGCACACCCAATTCGGCACACCTCTCACACGTTTCGTGGCCCCAGAGGGACCTCCACCGAAGGCCCCAATGGCGGCGCTCACTTGCGCATGCGTCACCCGCACCCAATTCGGCACACCCCTCACCCGTTTCGTGGCCGCATAGGGAGCTCCACCGAAGGCCCCACTGGCGGCGCTCACATGCGACACCCACACCCACCCAATTCGGCACACCCCTCACACGTTTCGTGGCCCCATAGGGAGCTCCACCGAAGGCCCCAGCGGCCGCGTTCACATGCGTCCCCACCACCCATCCCGGCACTCCCCTCACAGGTTTCGTGGCCACATAAGGACCTCAACCGAAGGCCCCAGTGGCACTGCCCGCATGCGCCACCCGCACCCATTTCGGCACACCCCTCACACGTTTCGTGGCCCCATGGCCCCATAGGAGGCTCCACCGAAGGCCCCGCTGCGGCACTTACATGCGTCTCCGCCACCCATCCCAGCACTCCCCCTCGCATGTTTCGGGGCCCCATAGGGAGCTCCACTGGAGGCCCCAGTGGCGGCCCTCACATGCGTTTCCGCCACCCATGACGGCACACCCCGCACGTGTTTCATGGCCCCAGAGGGAGCTTCACCGAAAGCCCCAGTGGCACCCATCTCGGCTCACCCCTTACACGCTCCGTGGTCCTATGGGGAGTTCCACTGAAAATGAAACCCACAGCTGCGGTACTCACACAACTGCATCTGGTTGGGATCTTCGCCAGGCTAATTGTTTGAATTGTTTTTTCCGCCAGTCTCTTTGGTAATTATTGTTTTTTCTCGTGGTTTTCCTACAGAGTGATGGCTTTCCGCAGGAAGGGGGAGGAGGAGGAAGAGGAGGAGGAAGTTGTAGGGGCTGTCAATCGGAATCCTTTCTGTAGATGCTTTCAATACGAATCCCTGTGTGAAGGCTTTCAATCGGAGCTCTTCTGTGTTAGCTTTCAAAAGGAATCCTTGCGTAGTGGGTTTCAATCGGCATCCTTTCGTAGACGCTGTTAATGGGAATCATTTCGTATTGGCGTTCACTAAGAATCCTGTTGGATTGGCTTTCAATCGGAATCCGTTTGTGAAAGGCTTTCAATAGGAATCCTTGTGTAGCGGCTTTCAATAGGAATCCGTTTGTCGAGGCTTTCAACAGGAATCCTTTTGCATTGGCTTTCAATAAGAATCCTGGTGTATTGGCTTCCAATAGGCAAGCTTTTTGTATATGCTTTCAAAGTGAATGCTTTTATATTGGCTTTCAATAGAAATCCTTTTTGTAGTAGCTTTCGAAACGAATCCTTTTGTAAAGGCTTTCAATCCTAATCCTTTTTCGTAGCGGCCTCCAACAGGAATAAATTGGTCGTGGCTTTCAGTAAGAATCCTTTGGGTAGATGCTTTCAATGGGAAACCTTGTGTAGAGGCGTTCAATAGGAACCCTTGTGTAAAAGGCTTTCAATGTGAATCCTCTCGTAGTGGCTCTCAATAGGAATTCATCGTTTGTACAGGCTTTCAATCGGAATCATTCTGCATTGGCTTTCAGTAGGAATCCTTTTTGTAGAGGCGTTCAATAGGCACCCTTTGGTACAGACTTCCAATCGGAATCCTTCAGTAGAAGATTTCAATGGGAATCCTTTTGCAAAGGCTTTCATTAGGAATCCTCCTCTAGAGGATTTCAATAGGAATCCTTCTTTGCACGTGCTTTCAATAATGATCCTTTTGCAAAGGTGTTCAATAGGCATCCTCCTGTATTCGCTATCAAAATGAAACCGTTTGCACCGGCGTTCAGCAGGAATCCCTTCTCGAAGGGATTTCGCTAGGAATCCGTTTGTAGAGGCTTTCAATGTGCATCCTTTCGCATTCGCTTTCAAACGGAATCCTTTTGTCCAGACTTTCACTCGGAATCCTTCTGTATAGGATTTCCATTAGGAATCATTTGCACAGGCTTTCAATAGGAATCCTTATGTAAAGAATTTCGATTGGAATCCTTTTGCAAAGGCTTTCAATAAGGACCCTTTTGTAGAAGCTTTCCGTAGGAATCGTTTTGTAGAGGCTTTCGATAGGAACCCTTTTGTAAAGGCTTTCAATGGAAATCCTTTTGTGGAGGCTTTCAATCGGAATCCTTGTGAATTAGCTTTCAATCGAAATCCTGTTGTAGACGACTTCAATAGGAATGCTTCTGTCAAGGCTTTCAATCGGAATCCTTTTGCAGAGGCTTTAAATAGGAATCCCTCTCTTCAAAGGCGGAGGCTTTCAAGAGGAAGATAGAAAGAGAGAGAGAGAGAGACACAGAAGGAAAGAGGCGTAGGCGAAGGGATAGCTTCGCATCGGTTCCCTTTTTAAAAAGAACACAAAAAGGCACCAGGCCTCCTTTGCACCAGGAACCGCGTCCCCCCCACCAAGCACAACGAGTCGTGGCCCATAGGGAGCTCCACCGAAGGCCCTAGTGGAGGAGAAGTGCTTGTGGAGGAGGAAGAGCGAACTGGCCAGCAAACGAAGAGCGGACAAGGGAAGGAATCAGATCAGGAAGAGAAGACCGGAGAAAAACAGGATTGAGATGATGAAGTCCGCTGCTCTGAGGCCTGTCGAGCGCCGAGGTGTACTGACACTGTGTTTCCTTTATGGCAAGGCCAGCGAGCAACATCTCTGAAGGTTGTGCGGTGCCTGCCGAACCATGACGGGCAGCTGGCAAGGTGGAGTGGTGCCTCCAGGGACATCGCGAGAGAGCTACCGACGGGGCGCGACTCCACCACACCAGCAGCACCTGGGCTCCCCATGTATGCCCCCCACCTCGTTTTTGCCACGCCTCATCCGAGAGGGCGGCGCCTCTGATGTGCTGAGCTGGCGTCTGACTGGGGTTGGTAACCCCAGTACCCTGAGATCCGACGTTGCCAAACAATTGCAACATAGTAACAAAAAAAACACGCGCCTGGATCCCCGTACCCCATCTACCTGCGACATTGTTCGAGCCGGATCGATCTGTGTGTCCCAGTGCCCGAAAAAGGCGAAGACGCCAGGCTCGAAAAAATTGAGACGACAGGATCTCAGGGTACGAGCCCTGTGTAAATCGATCACCGTTTCGTGGACATCGACCCCCAGCAACGGAACTGGGGCCTGGGCGCACCGGAACTCCGCGCCGACGAAGGCCGACGTCGACGCCGGGCTCGCCATCAACGCATAAATCGGGCTTGTCCCCCTACATGGGGATTTTGGACGAAAGATAAAGACACAGTCCAACAATGCCCCCAACATGTTTCAAGAAGGGTAAACAAAAATCGTCCCCAGACTATCTTTGGACTATTTTTGAGCATGAAGGGGAACTGGGACACACAAATAAATACACACAAATAAGATTATCCCCCATATTTTGGCAATATTTGCTGGGTTTGTGTCTTCCCCCCCACTTCCCATGTTTTCCCATATTCTCTGGGAATCGCCGATTCATTGTGTCTGTGTGTTTTTTCCCCTCCTGAGAGCATTCCTCCTGTAGAGGGACGGGCCCCACTTCGATCAACGCGCCTGGACGACCGCAGGGCGCGGGGCCGCGGCCTCGGCCGCGAGGCCGCGGGGAGGTGCGGGGTGCCGGCTCCCTGGAGCGCCGGGCCGGCCCCGCGTGCCCACGCTGCCAGGGGGGTCCTCCCCACCTCCTCTCCTCCCCCCTCCTCCTCCTCCTCCTCCTCCTCCTCCTCCTCCTCCTCCTCCCCCTCTCCTCCTTCTCCTCCCTCCTCCTCCTCCTCCCCCTTTTCATCCTCCTCCTCCTTTTCCTCCTCTTCCTCCTCCCCCTTTTCCTCCTCCTCCTCCTCCGAGTGAGCGAGAGTCACTGGCGCCCCCAGGGCATCGGGTGGGGGATGGGCACGCCCCTGCGTATTGGCGATCTTCAGTCATGCCAGAGCACCGTCCCTGGAACTTCAACACCGCGAATCAGCTCAACTGTTGCGCCCTCGAAATCCTGAACCATTCCAGAACAGCATTTCTGAAACAATGGCCCTGGGAATCCTCGAAACTCTTGCATCATGTTTAACCAAATTTGCGCGACGCTGAAGCGAGAACCACATGTTTGAAAAAAACGAACCGCCCTCAATCCGTGAAACACGTGCAGGTCTAAAACAAAAAAGAATGTGCGGCACTAGTGCGAGAGCCACATTTTGAAAACGAACCGCACTCAATTCGCAAACCTCTTGAACATGCTTACAAAGAATGTGCACGGCGCTACGGCGAGAGCCACATTTTGAAAACAGCCCGCCCTCAATCCTTGAAACTCTTGCAACAATTGAAGTGGAATGTGCGAGGCGCTAGGGCGAGAGCCACATTTTGAAAACTGCCCGCCCTCAATGAGTGAAACTACTGCCAGTGTTTACGATTCAGGGTCAGAATGTGGTGAGGAAAATCTCAGGCGAAACGCCTGGCCCGCCCTCTCGACCAGCCTCGGGGTGCGACAGGGAGGAGTTAGTTAGAAGGGAAAGGAATGGAGGCGGAGGAGAAGGAGGAGGACGGGGAGGAGGAGGAGGAGGAGGAGAAGGACTGAGGGAAAAGGAGGGTGGGGGAGAAAGAGGATGAGAAGGACAGAGGGAACAGGAGGGCGGGGGAGCAAGAGGAGGGGGGGGGGGGAACAGGAGGGTGGGGGAGGAAGAGGAGGAGGTGGAGAGGGAGGGAGCACCGAAGGAGGAGAAGGTGGAGGAGCACCGCGGCCCGAGGAGACGGCCGAGGGCCGCTGCGGGGCCGCCGGGCCGCCGGGCCGCCGCCGGGCGCCGGCCTGCGGGCTGCGCCGCCCACGCCCGCCCGCGGCCCGGCCCGCGGCCCCGCCTCGAGCCAGAAGGGGCATCGAGCCACTGCGCCTCCTCCTCGTCGGCGTCGTGGTCGTCGTGGTCGGCGGCGTCGTCGGCGTCGCGGTCTGCGTCGGCGTCGGCGGCGTCGGCGAGATCGTCGGCGCCGTCGGCGCCGTCTGCGTCGGCGTCGGCGTCGTCGTCGGCGTCGGTATCGGCGTCGTCGTCATCACCGTCGTCATCTTCGTAGTCGTCGTCGTCGTCGTCGTCGGCGTCGTCGGCGTAGTCGGCGTCGTCGGCGTCGTCGGCATCCGCGTCGTCGGCGGCGTCGTCGGTGTCGTCGTCGTCGACGCCGGTGGCGTCGTCGGTGTCGTCGGTGTCGTCGGCGTCGGCGTCGTCGTCGCCGTCCATCCATCGTCGTCGTCGTCGCGCACATTCCACCCCATCCCGTCCATGATCCTCCTCGGTCCCCTCAGGCTTTCCTCTGCTGCCTCGTCTGCATCCATGCCCCCGTCGTCATCCCCACCCGCATCCTGTTCCGTCCTCCACCATCCTCGTCCGCATCCTCGCCCTCGCGACTCAAATCCTCATCCTCACCCTCCCCCCATGCATCTCTTCTGTCTGCTGCTGCGCATCCATTTCTCAATCCCATCCTTCGAAATCCAACATTACCCTCTGCCTCCTCAGCCTCCTCCTCTATCTCCTCCTCTATCCCCTCCTCCTCCTCCTCCTCCTCCTCCTCCTCCTCCTCCTCCTAATCATCACCACCCCATCACCATCATCCCCATTATGCTTAATGCTCACCCTCATCAACTTCCTCATTACCCTCATCCTCCCTCGCCCCGCGACTCTTCCTCCCCACCCCTGTTTTAACAGTCAATCCTCCTCCTTGGCTGCTCCTGCACACACCTTATCCAGAAGTCCTCCCTGTCGCGCCGCCAGGCGTGTGAGTAGGGCGCGTCTAGGCATTTCGCCCGAGGCTCCACAGCCACGTGCGGTCCCGAAGCTCCAGAGAGCATGCAACGCCTGCGCGGGTGGAGCGTGGGCGGTGTTCAAGATGTGGCTCTCGCCTCGGCGCCGCGCACGCTCGTCCTGAAACCTTGCGGCAGCTGGAAAGAGGTGGAAGCCGGGTGGTCTCTGGAATGCGGCTCTCGCCTCGGCGCCGCGATCGTTCGCCGGACCAGGCTGCAACAGCTTCGAGGGTGGGGGACAGGCGGCTCTCCACAGCTGGCTCTCGCCTCTGCGCCAGGCACGGTCGTCTCTAAGGTGTGCGGCAGCTTCAAGGATGGAGGGCGGCTCCTTCTCAAAGAGTGGCTCTCGCCGTGGCGCCGCGCACATTCGTCTCGCATGCTGCAGCATGTTCAAGGATTCGCATGGTGGAAGTACCAGGAAGCGCGTTCTGGCAAGACGTAAGGTTGGAAGCACGCGACAATTACGTCGATTTCGCGGCGTTGGGCGTTGGATTTCCACGGATGGTGATCTGTCTCGATCTGGGATTGTCAGGACGGAAAATCTAGCTTGATCCGCAGCGTTGAAGTTCCAAAGATGGAGGCTGGTACGATTCAATACTTTTTAGCGGCTGTCTTCTTATGGGCCACGCACTTCCCGCAATGAAGGCACACAGTCTTATATAGTTATACGAAAAGATGGGGTCTTGCAAGACCGTTGATGCATCTAGGGTATACACTGGTCCTGCTCCTCCTGCTCCTCCTGCTCCTCCTCCTCCTCCTGCTCATCCTCCTCCTCCTCCTCCTCTGCATCATCCTACACTTCTCTTATTTCACATTCCTTTCATCCTCCCCCCACTTGTTTTCTGGTCTCCGGCCTGTTGCTGCTGGAACGCAGAACGCCACTGATGCTGAAAGACAGCAGTAGTCTAAAATCCGGGTGTGCTTCGTCAAAGCAGAAACTTTCACTCACTCCATTCAAGCCATCCGGTTACTAATTACCTTTCTTCCGCTAGACCACGGTCATGTTTTGATGTCTTTGCATCGTTATGTTTCTGCCTCTGGTCTTGCGATGTGTCACTGGCACTTCCCTTAATACTATAATTCAGGTCATCCTTGTCAGCCCCCTGTTCCATCGACTACGCCAATCCCCTCTTTGAAATACATCCCATCTCCCAACGACTAACATTACGTGATCGCCCGTCTATCGAGTCGATCCCTTCGCTGATGTTTCGGCACTCGCTCAAGTGTCTGAGCGCCGCACACGACGGAAGGGAACGTTCGGAGCCTTTCATGCCCAAAGGAGACACACGCAACTTGCCGACAAGATTTGAAAGCAGCTGGCTGGCCATCGCTCGGACATCCATCCCCTGTGTTTTGTTTGAGTTTCGTGCGTGGTTTTTCCGCCAAATGATCAAGGATGCTCCTCAATGGTCCTCGCCGAAGGAAAAATGCACACGTCCGAGCGATGCCAAGCTGGTTGGAGCTCAAACGAACCACCCTGCAAGCCGATCGAGCCCGGTGCGGCAGACGAGTGGGTGTTGCGGGCGTCTGGGAGCGCCTGCCAAGCGGTGCGGCGGTGCGTGTGCCACTCGCCCCGGTGAAACAGCAGGACCGCCGAGACGCGCTTCGACGATATGTGTGCGGACAAGATTTATGTCCATATCCAGTGCCTCTTGGACTTTTTCGGAAGCGGCGCCACAAGGCCGAGGCGCACTGGATATGGAGAAAAATCGAGCCTCTCGGGGGCAAATCTATCCGTATCCAGTGCGCCTCGGGTTTCTTGGGGAGGGAGCCCGAAACTCCATACTGCAGTGGATATGGACAGAAATATTGCCCGCAATATGGTTCTTGGGCTGGGAGGCCCGGTGGGGAGGAGCCGGAAGAGGACGCAGCGAAGGCAGGAGAACAGAGGACGTGCCGCAGACCTGCTTCAGGATAATCTCCAGCTGGTCGGAGAGAGCGCCGACCTGAGGCAGCTCCCACCAGGCTGCTGCTGATGCTGAAGCCCTCATGGTCAGGCGCCCCCCAACCACTGTGCAGCAGGGGCACTGGAGCACGCGCCTCGCAGCTCCCCATGCTCCTCGTCCTGGTCCAGCCATTGGAGTCCAACCCCAGACCCCCGACGTTGTGATTTTTGTCGCAACTTCGACCTCAGGAGGTCTGGACCCCTTCCCCGGGACCGGCTTTTCACCCTGAGTCGTTTGTCTGACCGTCCCGAGGCCCGGCCAGGGCCCCCAGAGGCGGAAAATACCGAAACGTCTCCCGTCACGATCTTCTTCACGGCGCAATGGGGGTCTGGGACTCGCGCTTCCCACGCCTTCGACGTCCCGAGTGCTTCAAGCCGTGGACTCTCAGAGGTCGGGGCCCCTTCCCTGGGGGGCCGCCCGCCCAGCCCGAGTCAGTTTCGTTGACGGTCCGAGGGTCCGAGGGCCCGGCGAGGGTCCGCGTCGACCGCAGCCCAGAGCCTTCCGTCGCATTAAGGGGGGCCCTGGGACAAGCAAAGAAACGGACGCAGATCCCATGATTCACCACATTTTCTCATGCTGTCTGGGTGTTCGCCTTCCCCCCCCCCCACTTCCTATATGTTCCCTCCTGTTCCCGGGAGTCGACGGTGACTTGTGTCTGCTGTGTTCTTGTTCCCCTCCTGAGTGTTGTCTTTTGGCTTCGCAAAGAGATAAGGTCAGGGACGTTCCTCCTCAGCATGCCTCTCTGGCACCTCCCAGGGCGGACGATAGGGGGGCGGCAGAAGCAGGGGGTGGCGAATCGACTGCATGTAGCTGGCCGATTGGGCGCCTGGAGACGTCGGGCACATGCGTCACATTCACACTCCCATCATAGATATGCACTAATGTAACGAATCCCACAAGCCCTCTGGGCGTAGGTGGTCAAACGAGTGCTATCTGTCCTCTTCCGAAACCCGTCTCCCCTTTGGGGAGGGGTGCCCTTCCGCTCCCCTCCCTGAAATGTTTGCAGGAGGTGTTCGCGAGGTGGCACGGGGGCCATTCTTCGCCCAAGATGATTCCAAGAGGGCCTCCGATGCTCCAAGATGGCTTCCAAGGCGGCTCAAGATGGCCGAAGATGGCTCAAATGGCTTCCGACATAACTCCAAGAGGCCCGACGAGGGCCACCAGACGGTTCGAAATGCTCTCCGAGCCCCCTTATCAGACTCCCCCAGGAGACGCACATCCTTCAAACACAGAAAACCGTCAATGGTTTGTGTCTTCTCGTCTTTCCGCTCCCGATGCGCATTTGAGGCCTCAAGATCGCCCCGAGATGGCCCCAAAGAGCCACACGGATTGGCCCAAGAGGCCTCCAGACGGCACCCAAGGGGGAAGGAGAATCGTGATTCCCCCCCCGCTTTGATCGATCGCCTCCAGTATGGCCTCACGAGGCTCTCTAAGGTTCCCAGGGGGGCCCCCAGACGGGCCCAAGAGAACACAAGAACCCACGAGGGCCCGAACCAAGATCCGGTGTGCCTCCTCCTCCCCCTCGCCTCGCCACTTTGCGGGCCCCTGGGATGACCCGAAGAGGCCCTCCAAGGCCACTCCTTTGCTCCAAGAGATCTCTATGTTCATCCTGGTTGCCCGCTTTGTTTCACTCTAGGTGTATCTTCGTTCCTTGTCGCGTCAACTATCATGGGCAAGGTCTCTGAGTTGGCGGGTGGGGATACTCTTTTGATCGCGACCGCGAGAGGGGCACCCGCGCGGCGTCAGAAAGGTCGTGCTACTCGCGGATGGGGACACGCGAAGAGTGAAGAATCCAACGATGCAAAGAAATGCACCAATTATAGTTCGTACTTATCTAAGTGTAAATTCAAAAAGCTATATATATAATCATTTTTATAGAATTATGTATATACATCCGAATACTGATAATCATCGTCTACAGACCCCCAATCAGTGTTTGCACTGAAGGGGTCCTAGTTCGGGGATCTTCTGACCAGGGTCAATCCAGACCCTGGTCAGCAGGAAACCAAACAACTGCAATGCAGGAAAAAAAACTGCAACGCAAGTCTTCGCAAACCCGGGTCAGCCAATAGGCGCGGCCGCCTCGCGGCCACGAGCGGCTCGCTAACCCGGGTCAGCCAGAG